TAATTAAATGAAAATGTTATAATAACACAATAAAATTATAAAAATAACGATGATGTTAAATGTTAAAATAAATGTGTCAAAAGAATGAATTTTAGTTTTTGATCAAACAACCATTTGTTTCCTAGTTACTGTACATGGTAACACCTCGTCATGTAATAAAAACTAATTTTTCTCCATTTTATACATTATATACAACCGTAACGATTTTACTTTTATTAATTATATTCAAAGAATAATTTTATTATTATTATTATTTTCTTTAAAAACATTTCTGCTAAATAAATAAATAAATAATTAAAAATAATTAAAATTTTTTCCTTACCTCGAGTGTATATTCCTGCGACATGATTCCGGGCTTTTTACTCAACGTTCACTAACCGCAAACAAAAGCGCATTCACAAAACTAACAAAAAACAATTATGACGTCATTGTAAACGTAAGCAAATTAGATAAAACTTTGCTACTGTTTAACGGCTTTTCTTTCTACGGAATAAAAAACATGACTTATTTTTTATTTTGGAACGATTCCCAATTAATATCAACAATTATCATTATTATTATTATTATTCATCCCGATTCCCATGAAAAATTATATTAAAAAATCAAATTTAAATATTAAAATATTAAATAATAAAAAAAATAATAATGATAATGATAATCGGAAATAAAATCGTTTTAGATAAAACCTTTGCCAAATAAATAAATAATTCTTATTTTAAAAAAAAAAGAAAAAGAAAATGGCGTACTTAATGATACTAATCCATTTTCATTAACCGTAAAGTAAGATAGAAAAAGAAAAGGAAAAGGAAAAACAGCAGAAAACCAGACTTAAAAGATTAACTGCGAATCAAAGGAAGGAAAAAAAAAAGAGAAAAATCAAAGGTAGTGATGATAATAATAATAATTACACATAAAATATATATAAATAAATCTTTTGAATTAAATTTTTCATTTTTAGTAAGAAAAAAAAAATTAATCTGTAAAGAATTTCTACAGACTAATAATCTTTTAGTAAAAAAGGAAAAAAGGAAAACGTGAGAGAAAGAGAGAGAGAGAGAGTGAAAGTAAAATAGAAAAGTTAGTGTGAATTGTATCGGTGGGGGTGTATTTACCTCAAACTTTCTTCCATTTTTCCTTTTTCTTTTTTTTCCTGTAGGAGCCAAGAGAATTTTCCAAACCTTTTATTTTCATTTTTAATTAATTTTTTTCTCCACAGTTAAAATTTAATTTTTTTTTCTTCTTTTTCTCCTTTTTTTTCTCTCTCCATTCCTTTCGTTATTATTATTATTATTAAATTTTAATTTATTTAAATTTATTCGTTGCACATTCTGGAAATATTGTTTTATCATTTCTCTACCATTTTTTTTCTCCATCTCTCTCTCTCTTCCTTTTTTTTTATAAAAAATTTTCCGACTCCGAGTTAAAAAAAAAAAAAAAACAACAAAAATCAACCGGTGGGGAGGGGGTGGGTAAGAGGGAGGGAAAAATTGTTTTTCTTTCTTTCTCTTTTCCTTATCCCCCTCCCTCTCTCTCCCTCTCTCTCTCTTTTTATTATTATTACAACAGGAAAAATTTAAATGATGATGATGATGATTAAATTCTAAAAACAAAACAGAAAAAAAAGGTTTGATGAAAAACAAACAAACAAACAAAACTAAAATAATAATAATAATAATAATAATAATACAAATTTAAAATTTTCCCTTTAAAAAAAAAAATAAAAAAACAAAATTTAATTTAATTTACCTGGACAAAACACACGCACTTACAAAACTGGAATAATTTTTGTTTTTTCTTTTCCTTCCCCTTTTCCTCCCCTTCTCCTCCACCTCCTCCTCCACCACTCCCACCACTTCCAGTTCCTCCTCCTCGGAAAAAAGAAAAAATATACACAAACATTTTTGTTTTCCAGAACCCAGTACGATTATTGAATTATACGAATGATAATGATAATAATAAAATGTTAAAATCCAGAGAAAAGTCTCATTAAATTACATTATCCAGTATTTATCCGACGACGACGACGACGGCGATTTTCCCTTTTTTTTGTCCAGGGATTCACTCACGTATAATTTAAACCTTATGGAGATTTAAATAAAAGGGAATATGGAAACATTCCATAAATATCTTCATCCAACAACAAAACATAATTCATTCCTTTTTTTCCCGAAACAAAAGTGTTTGTTTGGAATCTGGAAAAAATAAAAAAAAATAGCCAAAAGAAAAAAAATAAATTAAATACTCTGGAGAGAGTGAGTGAGAGAGTGAGAGAGAGAGAGAGAGAGAGTGAGAGGAAGAGAGAGAGATAAAATGGTAAAGTAATGTTATTTATTACACTCCGACAGTAAATATACTTTTTATTATTATTATTATTATTATTTTAATAAAAATTTATATATATATATTTTTTTTTTACCGGCGTCGAATAAATTTCCGTTGTATTTTCCAAAGTAAAAAAAAAAAGGCAACAATTTTTTTTCATTTGTTTGTTTGTTTGTTGTTGTTTTTATCTTTTCTCCAAGACCGTTTGTTTTGTTTTTTTTTTATAAATGCACTTTTTTTGTTTTAAATTACACGTTTTTCCCCCCTTTTTTTCCCCGTTCATTTTGTAATCCTTTTATCTACTTTTTCCCTTTTCTAAGCTACCTTAAATTTTTTTCGAATAAATCACCTGTTTTATTTTTTTTTTTACGAAAAGAAACTTTATTATTATTATTATTATCATCACTTTTTTTTCCTGGAGAAAAATAAAAAATTTAAAGAAAAAAAAAAAAAAAATTTTGTTTGTTTTTTTTTATTCCTCCCGTTTTTGTGACAATAAATTTTCCTTTTTTTCTTTTCGTATGTGTATGTGTGTGGGTGTGCGTGTGCGTTTGTAATAAAATTGAGTTCAGGTTTATTCTTGTCAAACATCTGAGTTTTCCTACAAAAAAAAAAGAAAATTTTTTTTTATTTTATCAAAACTTCTTTTTTTCTTTCAAACCTGTCGCCGGAAACTTATTGAGAAAGTTTCCTTTTTTTCCTTCTTCCTTTTTTTCTTTTTGAAATTTATTTAGGAGGAAAAAAAAAGAAGTGTACCTGAAAACAGATGTTAATTTTCTTTTTTTTTAATAAAAATACGTTTTGTTGTTTGTCAACACAATTTTCACAAAAAGAAAAACAAAAAAAAAAATTATATAATACACACGAAATCCGTTTTGAGCAAAATTTTTTTTACATAAACCGGAAGTCACTTTTTTATTTAAAAAAAAAGCAATGGTCTCTCTTTCTTTTGTCTTTTATCATCATCATCATCACTTTTATCCATATTATTATTATTATTATTAATAGTACGATTTATTTTCGGAGATGATTCAAACGCTGTCTGCTATCATCCCGGCGCTATACACTCATATCCGAAACGATCCTCCGGGTTTTATTCTCGATGCGCAAAAACTCAAACCGAAGCAAAATAATAAAAGTGTGACGGCTCCGAGCAAAAGATACGCTGACCATGATACGTTACAATTTCCTAAATTACAAAAAATAAAAACAAAATGACTAAATCTCGGGGGAACTAAAAACAACAGCAACAGCAAAATATTTCTCATACCGATTTTATAAACGTGTGCCGATTCTCCACACGATTCTTTGATTTCCCTATTGTCCCATCCTATCGGATACAAAACGACTCCGCAGCAGACCATCAAAGCTGAAAATGAAACAAAAAAAAAAAAAAAAATTTATTTATTTTTACCGGAGGATAAAAAAAGACGACGAACGTGGGGGGAGGGGGGGACGAACGGGACGGGACGGACCCCGTCCCGTTGACTGCATCAAAAAAACGTTTTTTGTTTTTTTCAACCTATTGGGTTTATAAATGAATAATTTATGAATGGGCTGAGAGAGAGAGAGAGAGAGAGAGAGAGTAGGGAGAAGAGGAGTAGACAAAGAAGAAGAGAGATAGAGAGAGAGAGGGTAGAGAAAGAGAAAGTGAAAAAGAGATAGAGGCAAACCAAAAAAAAGGTAAAGAGAAAGTAAAGAGAGAGATAAGAGAGAGAGAGAGAGAGATGGTAGAGGCAGAAAAAGTGAAAAAGAGACAGAGGCAAACCAAAAAAAAAGAGAAAGAGAGAAAGTAGGGAAAGAGAGAGAGAGAGAGAGAGAGAGACAAATCGAATGCTAATATAAATCATAAAATTTTAATATGGATAATGTTACGAACCTTATTCAAAGCTCATAACCACCACCAAAATAAAGCTCACTCTCACTCTCTTTCTCTCTCTCTCTTTCTCTTTCTCTCTCGGATTTATTGATCTATTCAAAACCATAGAAGAATAGGTGATAAAAAAAGAGAAAAATTTTTTTTTTTTTAATGTCGAGATGAATGAGAAAAAAAAAAAAAAAATCAAAAACCGGAAGATGGATGATGAAGAAAATTTGTTATGAAAATCACTTTCGAAAAAAAAAAAAACAAAAAAAAAAAAAGGAAATGGAAAAAAAACTAAGAATAAAATGACGTCACGAGGAGATCTCGATCGGATGTAACGATTTTCTTTTTTTTTTACCTGGGAAAAATAACAAACGAAAAAAAAAAAAGAAAATTAATTAATAATTTTTTAAAATGGTTTTTTCACTTCCGGTTTTCTCTCTCTCTCTCTTTCTGTCTCAATACGTTTGATTCGTTTGATTTTATTAAAATGAATTTTATCGCGGCCAACAAATGATTTCGGTTAAAACCGGAAGTTACCCGTTTGTGAAACGGTGATATTTCCTTTTTTTTTTTTTTTTTTTTAGGAAAAATCGGAAATAAATCGCAATTAATAACAATTCTTGCATTCGATCAAGTTAAAAAAAAATAAAAATTACATCCGACGCCATTTTTAAAAAAAGAAAAAAAATTTCCAGAGATTTTTTTTTTTTTTTTCCATTGACGGTTTTAATACACGTTCAATTAAGTTTCGACGGGTAAGAATTGATTTTCCGTTTTTGTTTTCGGAAAACAAAAAGAAAATCACGAGAAGAGAGAAAATTGAGAGAGAGAGAGAGAGAAAAAAAAAAAAAAAAAAAGTTTCCAATAAATTTTTCTTTTGGTAAATGAACAAGGGAAAATTTTATGTTGTTGTTCTTCTCTTGGTTAAAAAAGAAAACCGGAAGCTTTTTACATTGTTTCCCCCTTTCCCCCTTCCCCTTCCTCCCTATTAATGCCAAACGCATCGTTATCGACACAGGAAATTGAGTTTAAAACTAACAACATTCACAAAAAACTTGTAGAGACGTTTTTCTTCTTCTTAGGAAAATTCTTTCGCCTCAGTTATTTTCCGCCATTGTGTTTTTTAAACCGCCATTTTGTTTACGGTTTTCCCGAATTCTTTTCACAAAAAAAAAAAAGAAAAGATTATTTTAACCGTCTTCCTTAACGAATCTTGATAAAGTTAATTTATTTAATTCGTTTTTTAAAAATTCTTCTTTATTCCTTAACGAGTTTCGAAAACTCTCGTAGTAAAATAAAAATGGCGGCCATTATATAAGAAGTTAAGAACGATACGGGAAAACGTGTCAACAGACAACAAAATCCATTCGAAAATATTTTCGCGCCAAAATTACTTTTTTTTATAAATTTTCTCTCTTATCGTTGTAACACGTTTTTTCAATGTTTTACACTCGTCGTGTGTAAAAATAAAATGTTAATAAAAAAATTTTATGATTTTTATTCCGAGTCAGTTTTTACCAACACAAAGAAATACAAAAAAAAACTTTAGCCATAATTTTAAATTATTATTAAAACTTTAAAAGAAAAAACAAAAAGATTTTCCCTTCCCCCTCCTCTCCCTTCCACCCCCCCAAAAAAAAAAAAATATAAAGTTTTTATAAAAACTTTATTTACGCTTTATTTCCCTTAGACATAATTTGACCGTTAAATTAATGAAAAAACGGTTTTAACACAAACAATGAAATTTATGAATGTTTTCCTTTTTCTTTCACTAGGGGAGGGTGGGGGGACGGGGATCAACTTTTTAAGAGAGAGAGAGAGTAAAAAATATATAATTACCTGCAAAAAGTTGTAAAAATCCAGCAGCTCTTGCCGTTCCAGCGTGAACAACATAAGCAACGCAACAAGCAGCTGTGGCGGTAACACCGACCAACAAGCTAAGACCGCTGGCAATGCCGACCAATATGGTGCTAGCTTGCCACCACGGACTCGGAATATCCCAAAACCTGAAAAATTTAACGGTTTTCAAACAATCGAACGATGAAAACAGAAAAAAAACGTTACAATAAACTATGAAAAAAACAAACCTTGAATACCTTCCGCATTCTTGTATTATTTCTACAAGACCAGCAGACGAAACTTTTGGATAATTACAACGACGAAAAGAACTAAAATAAGCGTCGACTTTATTAAACAAATTTCCCTGGAAAAAACAAAAAAAAAAAACACATTAATAATTTTTTTTTATATAAAATTTCCAAGTTCGATTTCATCGTGACCTTTGAACCGTGAATGAAAAAAAAACGAACGAACGAAATTCTACCCGATTTTTCACTTTTTGAATGAAACTTTTTCTACTTTCTCTCTCTTTTTTTTATATTTAAATTTGAAAATAAAATTTCTCTCAACTTTTCTTTCATTTTCCTTCTTTCTCTTTTTTTTCTCTTTAAATTAAATATAAAAACATAAATTATTTTAACGGAAAAAAAGGAAAAAACTTGGAACAAAAAAAAATTATTATTGAATTTAAAAAAAAGAACGATTTTGAAATGAGTTCCGGAACGTTTTTAAAAAAACAAACGTTTGAATTTTAAAAAATTGACCAATCGGGAAGCGGAATGATAAATTAATGTTTAACTTATGTATAAAAAAAAACGTTAGCGATTCCCATTTCGAATCACGTGATCACGTGATCGCAATCTATCAACGATGTGTCGCCGTCGTCGCCGTTGTAGTTTTTTCGCATTAAATCGGAATTGATAAATTTTTTGAAATTATTCGGTCCGGTGAGTTTTTTTAAAAACAAATTTTTTACTAATAATATTGTGTACACGCATCGTCGCCGATTTAAACGTTTAAAAATAACATTTTTAAAAAGGAAAAAGAGGAAAAAAGGAAAACAAAGGTAAGGCAAAGTTCCGGTGTAAATCGTTTTTGACGTTGTTGTTGTCGAAATCGTGTTTGTTTGTTTGTTTTCTGTTTTTAACGGAACAATAACAAAAATAAATAAAAACTTTTCCGGAATTTAATTGTTTCTTTTTTTTGTTTTGTTATATAAAAAAAACGTAAAAAATTTATTTTTTTGTAACTGGAAAACGAAACGATCACCACCCACCCACCCACGTATGGGCACGTCCATCAACAATAAAAATGTCTGTTATCGATATACAGAGAAAATTATTATTATTATTATTATTATTATTATTATTATTAACTTTCAATATCATTTGTCGGATATAAATCATGGAAAAAAAAATTTTTTTTTTCTCCATAAAAAAAAACTTTTCCGAATGGAAAAACTTTATTTCATTTCGATAATATTAATCTGATACGTGTTTAATATTTGCCAACGGCAGCTTAGAATAATAATAATAATGATGATAATGATAATAAATAATGAAATCGTAAGCGTGCTTTCCACGGGTCGCATTCCTATTAAAAAAAAAAAAAAACATTCGCACCCATTATCCCCAGCATCCGTTCCCGTAATCCCTCTCCTTAAAACTTGGAACGCATCCCGAAAAAAAAAAAAAAAAATTCCGACACGAGACTTCCCGCGCGTAAAAGATTCAATAATAATGATAATAATGATGATGATGATGATACTGGAAAAAAATGATTGTTATTGATAAAATATTATAAAAACGAACGAATAAATTTTAATATAAAATACATTTTATAGGAAATCGTTTGAATCGGTAAAAAAAAAATAAAATAAATAAAAAATAAATAAATAAAAATCAAAAACAGACGAATAATAATAATAATAATAATAAAGGGAACGAAAATTTTTTTTTTTTTTAACGACCCGAATAATAATGATAATGATAACGATAATAATAATAAAAAAATAATAAATTTATTTAGGGAATATTAAAAAAAAAAAAAAAAAATTGAATAAAATTAAAAAAAAATTGAATAAAATTACGACGAGAAAAGTACGACGATTATACGAAAAAAAGCATTGAGAGAGAGAGAGAGGGGAAGAGGAAAGAGAAAAAGGAGAAAGAGAAAGAGAGAAAAATGGGAAAGAGAGAAGAGAGAGAAAGAGAAAAGAGAAAAAGGAGAAAGATAGAAGAGAAAAAGAGAGAGAGTGTGGGAATAAAGTAAGAAGAGAGAAAGAGAGAGAGAAAGAGAAAGAGGAAAGAGAAAAAGAGGAAAAAGAGAGAGAGAGACAAAGAGAAAAGAGAAAAAGAGAGAGAGAGAGAGAGAGAGAGAGAGAGAGAAAGAATTATTTTTAAATAAAAAAATTTTTTTTTTTGCTGTTGTTAAAAATTATTAATAAAAAAAAAAAAAATCCATCGAATGGGAATTCAAGCGAACAGAACGAACGAACGAACGAATATCCGTTCGAATAACTTTTAACTAATATTTTTTTTAAATCCATCGCCTTTTTAAAATAACATTACAATAAATAAATAAATAATTCATCGAAGAATAATAATCCGATTCCGAATTCGATTTATTTACGCACTCACACACACACGCACATTTATTTCATTTAAATTATGACGATGTATAATGACGTAAGTCGTTGCCTTTTCCCTTTCGACGTCATTCGAATAATAATAATAATAACAATAACATCATTTATTAGTTAAAATAAAATTACGTTATGCACCGCGTACGAAAAACGATAATAAAAAAGGAGGAAGAGATAGAAAGGGGGGAGGGGAGAGAGAGAGAGAGGGAAAACATTAAATCCGCGTTCCATTTTTTTTATTTCTCCTCTTATAAAAAAAAAATCGGTTTAAGGGATTTCTTCTGGAAAAGCAAAAAAAAAAAAAAAAAAAATCATTTTCAAGCGTTTCGATTGAAAAAAAATATTATTATTATTATTATTTTCTCTCCGAACCGGGTGAATTTTACGATTAATAAATCAAAAATTAAGCGAAAGTGTTTTAGAGAGAAAGATAGAGAGAAAGAGAGAGAGAGAGAGAGAAAGAGGAAGAAAGAGAAAGAGAGAGAGAAGAAGAGGAAGAACGAGAGAGAAAGAAAGAAAGAGAGAGAGAGAGAAAGAAAGAGAGAGAAAGAAAGAGAGAAAGAGAGAGAGTAAAAAAAAAATTGTACTAATAATAATAATAATAAGAATGTTTTATATAAATTTTTTTTTTTTTTTCTTTCTTAACATTTTACGGATTTTGATTGAATTTTTTTATTTTATTTTATTTCTTTTCTTCATCCTTTTTCTTCTTCTTCTTTTTTATTTTAGTTTTTCAAAAGATTGTAAATTCATCATGACGAAAAAAAAAAAGTAAAAAAAAAATTCAATCGAAATTTTTTTTTTATTTTTTTACGTGTCGATATTTATAAAGAGAATAAAATGTTTCATCGAATTTTCTAGAGATGAAAAACATAAAAAAATAAATGTCAAGACGGTTAAAAAAAAGAAAAGAAAAAAGAAAGAAGGAAAGAAAATAAAATAAAAAACTGTCATTTTTTTTTTATAAAAAGACAATAAAAACAAAAAAAAAAAAAATCAAAATGGCGGACAAAAAAAAAACAAATTAAATTTTAAAATCAATTTGCGTTTCCCTCCCGCGAAAAATCGTTCAAATCGTTAAAAAAAAAAATTTAGTTTAGTTTAGTTTGTACAATGATAGTAACTGATAATAATAATAATAAAAAATGGAAACCTTATCAGAATCAATGAAAAGGTTACAAAAGGTTACAAAAGCCTGAGGGCGATTCGAAAAGGATTTTCTCGATTTAAGACGCAACAAAATTTAACAATAAAAAAAAAAAAAATCGACAAATCGCAAAAAAGGTTCGATAAAATTCATTTTCATTCATCGAACGGGAAAAAAAAGGAAAAAAAAGGAAAACTCCTTTGAAATCCTGGAAAAAATTTTCCAAGATTTTCTCGTTGGAATGTCAAAACGTTTCAATTTACAAAACATAAATAATTTAAATTCCATAATTTCATTCCAGTGAGAGAGAAATTGAGTGAAAGAGAGAAAGAGAGAGAGAGATACAGAAACAAAGAGAGGAAGAGAGAGAGAGGGGGGGGGGAATTTTCTTTCATCGAACGATAACCAATTATAAAATGTAAATCGAGTATTTTAATTTATCCCCTACTTAAACCATTCTACTACTACCATTCATTAAAATAATAATAATAATAATAATCAAATTTTCCAAAAAAAACAAAAGCAAAACAATTATTAAAAAAAGGGGGGGACGGGGGGACGAGGGTGGGGAAGGGAGGAAAAAACAAAAATAAAATCTAGAAAATTTTCACTCGCGATTTGTAAAAGCTCATTTTCACTTTTCTTTTCCTTTTTTTTTCCTTTTTAGAAAAATAAAATAAATTCCTGGAATTTTTGAATGAACTCTGACACGAGGAGAGAGAGAGAGAAAACATAAAAACGTTTTACTCGAATGCAGACGACGTAAATAATAATAATAATAATATTTATAATAACGACGAAAATAAAATTAATTTCAATAAAATAACACTAATATTTATTATTATTATTATCATTTTAAAATAAGGCCGTTCGACGTAGAAATCGTGTTAAAACTCACACGTGATACGGGAAGGACAAGGAAGAATGGGGGGGGGGATTCGTTATAAAATTACCTGGAAAAAAAAGGATGAGAGAAAAATCGATCCAGGTATTTTTCTTTTCTCATCTTCACCTTTCCTCCTCAACTCGACAAAGTAAAAAAAAATGGCGACGGTTAATAAATTACGAACGAATAACGATAATTAAATATAATTTTTAACAAAAAAAAAAAAAAAATGGCGACATTATTAAAATATTAAAAACGAACGGACATTAATCATTCCGATATGACTTCTTTCTTTCTTTCTCTAAATGGCAGTGAAAATGGCGGTGAAAATGGCGGAGGTGGTGGTGGTGGTGGCGGCGGCGCGATAATCGAATTCGAATTTCAAATAAAAAAAAAAAAGGTCAATCAATCATAAATTGAACGTCATTCGACGGAGAAAAGTTTTTTTCTTTTTGAGAAAAAAAAAAACTGGAAACGAAAATGAAAATTACATCGCAAACCCCTCCCCTTCTCCTTCCCCCTCTTACCCTCTCTCCGCTCTCCGCCCCCGCCCCCGCCCCCGCCCTTTCCCCCCGAGAAAAAAAGAACCACGTCGGTAATAAACATTTAAATTTATCATTATTATTATTACTATTTTTCAAGGAAAACGTGATTTAAAAAATGCGTTTGACAGCTGCCACGTCGGATTTCAATTTTATGTTTCTCCCACTTTTTTTTCTTTTTTTTTTTCGTTACATTTTCTTACGAATGAGAAAAACTCCGGAGGAATTTTCTTTCTATTTGAAATTTTTAATACGAAATCAAACAAACAAATTTTCCGTCGGTGTGAAAATTATTTGAAAAAAAAAAAATTAAATTTTTTAGCGGTTAGACATAAGACGTGCGTACGTGTCAAAAACGCGACGACGAAAGAAAATTCTTATTATTATTATTATTAAAATTATTAAAAACTTTTAATTTCGTAAAATAATTTTCGAGAAAATTTATTTTTTCCGAACGAAACAAAAAAAAAAAACAAAAATGGTGGAAAACGAAACAAAAAAAAAACTATTTTTACTTTAAAATTTCAAATGTAAAAATTTTGTCGCCGGAGGAATAAAAAAAAAAAAAAACGGAAAATACGCGAGGGAAAATTGTCGCGAGTAAATTCGTAAATGTGAAATGTCACACACACGCACACGCACACGCACGCCCACACACATTGGAAAACCATCGTTGAAAGCATCTCCT